GGGGGCCCCCCCCCCCCCCCCTTCTTGCAGCCCTCTTCTCTATCCTGCATCAAATTTACAAGAAAGATTCAACTGAAAAATACTTAAAAAATGACTGACATACCTTTACTTTTTAGTAATCCAGCACCACCAATAGCAATTCCAGTTGCATGCAGAGGCATTGGAGTTGGATAAAAGAATTTGCTGTCCACTTCTCCAGGAGGTGCAGCAACTCTCTTTCTCTTAGAAATAGGAACATTAACTGATATCTGATTTGCACCATGCAGTGCCTCCTGAACCAGGCTAATCAATTCCTTCCTTCCTTGGCTTGGTATGGGTTCTCTCAACTTTTCTGCAGACGGAGTTCTTGTGCTTGTTGCATCCTTTGCAGAGGTTATCCCAGACGCATCAGCGCCTTGGCTTTTGATGATATTTCTACTGCCAGAGTCGGTATAAATCTTTTCCTGACCAAACTTTCTTTTCAGGTTCCTAGGTAATAAAAGGGACTTGGAGCTTTTTCCTGCATCCTGATTGACTACTTGTGAAACTTTTGAATTTATAAGCTTTCTATTTCTTGCAGATGGTAGAGATTTGGTGTGGGGAAGCGGAATGTGATCAAAGCTCACAGTATGGCCCGCTTTGGAATTATCTGTAAATTACAGAAATCAAAGCCCAATTATTCAGACAAAGTGAATACACGTGAGGAAAAGGGCGTAACAAAATTTTGTATCCTCAGTTCGTGTCAGAGGGGTTTGTTGAAATTTCGTCTTCTCATTTGGGAACTGCACATAATCTTTCTTTGGTATTAATTAATAATTAGTTAAATATTGCTCAAGAATTAGCACGTGAAGAAAATTTGCTTAATTTTTCCAGCCAAGAAAGTGTAACGAAATCTCACTAAAAAAATTAAGAAAGAATGAACACTCACCACCAGTGGTCCCATATTTCTGGTGCAAATCCTGTTGGGAAAAAAATAAAAATAAAAAATGAATGGAGATGTAATATGAAATATTAGATTATGCATTTTGAAAAATTTTATGAGGAGCAAATGTCAGAATGAGGCAATAAAATTTTACAAGATCCACTCACCAATGCAAGATTAAAATCAATGAGATAACCCTTGTTGACCTTTCGGGAGAAAAGAAAGTTGCCGGGTTTAACATCTCTGTGAACAATCCCCTGTAGTTATAAGAAGACTCCATAAGTTCATCTTGCTCTTGAAAATGCCTTCAGTTTGCATGGTAATACATGGATCTTCTCACTTATTCTCACCTGCTTATGTAGACCAGCAAGGGCTTTGAACATACAAAAGCCATACCACTGGAGCTGATAAATATCTATTTCTCTCTTCAAGACCTTAAGGATAAAATAGAAGTAAAAACATAAGAAAACATTATTGACAACAAATAGTACATATGGATTAAAGGCAAATATTTATGATACCTCAGGTCGATCGTGTTCAACATGCTCCAAAACAAGACAATCAGAATTCCCTTGCTTCAATGAGCATTCATATTTAATCACAAAGCTTTTTCCCCTGAAGTAAAGTAAAACTTTCAAAATTCAAGACCAGTCTCATTGCTCAAGAAGAAAATACATAAGAATGGATTCTTAGGTTACGGAAATTCAATGCATGTATTATTACCCGAAGCGCTCCAGCATCTTCAGCTCGTTGTGCACATGATGTCTGTTAGCATTGGCATGAGGACCTGAAAAAAGAAGAAACGGATAACTGAAAACTGTTAAGCATTTTTATAAGCAAATATGCTTAGATTTCTCCAAAGGCAAACATGCCCATTCCCCTTTTCTGCTTTAACAAAACCTAGGTTATGAATTGAGCCAACTAGCAAATTAGAAAAGATTCAGCAAGATATAAAGCATTTTGATGCTTAATGTATTTCTAAGGTACTTTGTGGTAGCATGCACATCATGCGGATCAATCTGCAAAGTGATACAAGATAGCAAACATCTAAATTGTACTAATATATTATTGGCAGCCTGCAGGCCAATTTAAAGAACTGTTGCTTAAATAGTCTCAATTCACGATTCAAAATTTCTGTGAGGATTTCTAGGGAAATACCAACGGGAATCAAGTGTATCTCCTGTGAAAGATTTGTTATTGTTGGATTTTATGCGCAATATTAAAGAGATAAAAAAGAAAATCAACACAAGAATTTACGTGGTTCGACGGTGTGCCTACGTCCACGAGAGCGAAGCGGAGATTTCTTTATTCAGTAGTGAAAAATAGGGTTACAACATATTATTTATACT